AGAGAACCTATAACAAATTGATCAAAGAGTGCGGAAAGGCTATAATGAGAAGTTAAAGTGAGGAGGTTATTTGAGGAGGTCAGATCTCACCATCAACAAATGTAAAGAAATCATGGGACTTAAATATTTTAAATGTTTTGACGGTGGAATCGGTCTCCTCAAATAACCTCTTCACTTTAAACGAAGTGTGAAAGGAGGACTTTGAAGATCACCTCCATGACCCTTTTCATTTGCTTTGAACAGTGTGTCACTTAGTGAGCCATGATTACCCTTTGAGTAGTTTATTGGAGCATAAAAATTTGGATCCAGCAAGATCGAAGTGATAATAGGCAGAGGTTTCCTGGCAACGACATGGGGTGTACCTAGAATTTGTCATGCCATTTCTCACCTTTCATTTCAATGGGCCATATCTCTTTAGAAGACACAAATAAGTCTCCAAATCGTATTGTCCTTTTATGTTACTTTCTCCTTTTTTTATATCTTAAAGAAAGAAAGAAAAAAAAACAGATAATGATTTCATTTGCTTGGCTCAAAATAATTGCTTTTTAAGTCAATGGATGCGCTTGTTTACCCAATTCAGTAAGGAAATAGCAACCCCAAAACCTTATAATTTATTTCCCTTCAGACAGTTTGTTTCTTCACCACACCTCATCCATGGCACTTGTGAGAGCAACTCAACAAACCTCCTCTTCTAATACTTCTCGATGTTGTCGTTATCACGTGTTCCTCAGTTTCAGAGGTGAAGACACTCGCAAGACTTTCACTGACCACCTCTTCACAGCCTTGGTCAATGCCGGATTTCGCACTTTCCGAGACGACGATGAGCTGGAGAGAGGAGAAGATATTAAACCCGAACTCCAGAAAGCAATCAAACAATCAAGAACTTCTGTTATTGTGTTTTCGAAAGACTACGCATCGTCCAGATGGTGCCTTGACGAGCTTATGATGATCCTTGAACGCAAGAGGACCTCACCTGACTATGTCGTTTTACCTGTCTTCTACGACGTGGATCCATCCCATGTGCGGAACCAGACAGGAAGTCTTGCAAGGGCATTTGCTAGACACCAAAAATCTCAACACCCGAAGAAGGTGAAGGCATGGAAGGACGCACTTGCAGAGGTTGCAGATCTGGCAGGGATGGTCTTACAAAATCAAGCTGATGGGTAATTTCTTTTATTTACAAGTCTCTTTCTGAAGTTAAAATACTGAAAATGGACTTTTCAGTCTTTTTGTCTTTTTTTGTCTTCTTTTTGCAAGGATGTTTGAATTCTTTTTTCATTTGGATTGCAATTTTTCAGACACGAGTCAAAGTTTATCCACAAGATTGTTCAAGTGATAGGAGAAAAACTAAGGCGTAGACCCCTAAGTGTTCCCCACATCACGATCGGAAGGCATTCTCTAGATCTAATCAACAAACTGAATTTGTGGTTACAAGATGGATCAGATGATGTTGGCATACTTGTAATTTATGGCATGAGTGGAATAGGGAAGACAACCATTGCAAAGTCTGTTTATAATTCAAACTTTGGAAGGTTTGAAGGAAGCAGCTTCCTTGAAAATATCAAAGAAGTTTCACAGCAACCCAATGGCTTAGTTCAAATACAAACACAGCTTCTTTCTAATATTTTGAATGGGAGAAAAATGAGAATAAGCAATGTTAGTGAAGGATTAACTGAGATTGAAGATGCAATAAGCTCCAAGAGGGTTCTCCTTGTTCTCGATGATGTGGATCATATGGACCAATTAGATGCAGTACTTCGGATGAAAAATAGATTTTGTCCAGGAAGTAAAATCATAATAACAACTAGGCGTGCAAGATTGTTAAAGGCTCATCAAGTTACTAAGGTGCATGAAGTTGAAACTTTGCATTACAAGGAATCATTGGAGCTCTTTAGTTGGCACGCTTTTGGCCAGGACCATCCCATTGAAGGTTACATTGAATATTCGCAAAAAATAGTGGGTCATTGCGGAGGACTTCCATTAGCTCTTAAAGTTTTTGGTTCTTCTATGTACTCGGAGGATAGTATAGATGTATGGAAAAGTGCACTGCAGAAGTTGGAAGCCATTCCAAATGGTGAAATAGTAAATAAACTAAGAGTAAGCTATGATTCTTTGCCAGATGACCATGACCGAAATTTATTCCTCCACATTGCTTGTTTCTTTATCGGAAAGGACAAAGACTACATTGTTAACATACTAGATGCATGTGATTTCTATACAATTGTTGGCATTCAAAATCTCATCGATAGATGTTTGGTCAGTATTGATAAATGGGAGAAGGTGCAGATGCATGACATGATCCGTGGAATGGGAAGAGAAATTGTTCGCCTAGAATCAGAGAAGCCTTGGAAGCGTAGTAGAGTGTGGCAACATAAGGATGCTTTCAATATCTTGACAAAAAAGAATGTAAGAAAAATGTCGCATATGCACACATATATGTTTTTCATCTGTAAATATTTTCCAAATGTTTTTCCCCTTTCTTCTGTAGGGTACAGATTCAATTGAAGGCCTTGTCCTCGACATGCACATGCGCCCTAGAAACAGTCACATAAACTCAACGGAGATAGTCTTGGGAACCAATGCATTTACAAGGATGCATGAACTAAAACTACTCCATCTTAGTCATGTACAACTCGACGGATCTTATGCAGAATTTTGTACAGGATTAAGATGGTTGTGTTGGAATAAGTTTCCTTTGGATTCTATACCCACAGATTTTCCTTTCGGGAGCCTGATTGTTCTTGAAATGCAATATAGCGGCTTGAAGCAAGTCTTCAAAGGAACAAAAGTATGTTACTCTACGCTTTTCATTTTAATTCCATTTTCATTAGGCTTTCTGTTTGATAACAAAATATATCTACAACAATTAATTCCCCACATTGTTTTCTTCTGTACATTTTTTTTCCCCAGTGTCTTTCTTCATTGAAGATCCTTGATCTCAGCCATTCTCATTCACTTACAGAAACCACCGACTTCTCATTTTGCCCAAATCTAGAGAAATTGATTCTTGTAGATTGTGAAGGCCTGGTTGATGTCAATGGATCCATTGGGAATCTTGAGAGACTTGTGTACTTGAGTATGAAGGATTGCAAAAATCTTAGGATGCTTCCAGAGAAAGTGTTTATGCTAAAATCACTTGAAACACTTATTATATCTGGTTGCACAAATCTTAATGAGTTATCAATTGAGATGTTAAGGAACATGGAATCTCTGAAAGTGCTTGAGATAGATGAAATCCCGATAACTCAATTATGGCGAGGAAGAAGTTCATGTATCTGGAGTTCTTTACCATGCTCTTTAGTAAATTTAAGTGTTTGGGGGTGCAATCTTTCGGATGATACTTTTCCTAGGGATTTTAGTAATCTATCTTCATTGCGAAGACTAAACGTAGGGAATAATCCAATTTGTCGCCTGCCAAATTGCATCCAAGGTTTAACGAGGCTCGATGAGCTCTCTTTTTCCAAGTGTACGAGACTCAAATCCCTTGTGGGTTTACCAAAACTACATTACTTGCGTATCGATGGTTGCGTATCATTGGAAAAAATTACATATCAGTGCTTTCGAGGAATATCGGTTACTACCCGTTTGGGTGACAACCGCAACCTAGTTGAGTGGGAGAATAGGTTCAAGGTAGAACCCATTGGAAGAGTTGATGTAGATATGATCAACCTCTTGGGCTTGTGCAACTTGGAATCCATGGCACCCATTTGGATTCAAAAACCAATATATTGTGGAACAGAGGTTCATCGAAGTCCTGTCCAGGTGCGCCTCTCTCTCTCTCTCTCTCTCTCTCTCTCTCTCTCTCTCTCTCTCTCTCTCATATGATCAAAGGAAAGAGTTGACTAATAGGGTCATTTCCATTGCATATACTTGCATATATACAGGGACTGTACGAACGTGGTATATTCAGCACATTTTTTGCTGGGAATGAGGTTCCGGGCCGATTCAGCCATAAAAGTAGAAGATCCTCAATATCTTTTACTGTGACTTTACCTGATAAACACAGAATTCAAGCCTTGGTCGTCTTCGCTGTCTATGCGAGTTCTGGCTCTGATTTTCCTCGCAAGCGGTCGACTGGTTTTCTAGGTGTTAGTGGGGATATGATGACTAGAGTCAGAAATAAGAGCAAGGGTCTGAAGTGGTACTGTGGCCCAACACACTACGGTATTCCAGGTGAAGGAGAAGACATGATATGGTTAAGCCACTGGAAGTTTCAGGATGATCACTTAGAAGGCGGCGATCGAGTGGGTGTTTCAGTTGTTACGCAACCTTGCTTTCGAGTAAAGGAGTTAGGCATCCAGATTGTTCAGGAACAAGAAGAGAATCATAATACTATGATAAGCACCCAAAACAAAACCTTTCAACTTCTTGCACCAACTATTCCTTGGCAAAATTTCTCAGAAGACTACTTGTTCAATGATGAGGACTCTGATGAAGATACAGCAGGTGTGTTGCTTAAATTATTTGATCTTACTCCAACTATTTCTAAAACTAAATAATAAAAAATGAGAACCCTAATAAATTAAATTAGAATCACAAATCTATGTTGTTAGGATCGGATAATCATCTACGCTTGTCACAGGCCAGTCCACCATATTCATTTGAAAAACAAGCTTCCTCTAATTTGTTGGGATTTTCTGTGTTTTCCAGACAAAGAAGAACAGCAGGATGATCACGCTATTGCAGCTGCCACAGGCAGCAATAAATTCGGCGGCCTCCGTGGCTGGAAGGTGCTCATCACCGCAGCTTGCTTCTTTGTCGCTCTTTCACTAATCACTCGGTCTTCTCTCTCTCAAGCCGGGGCTGAATTTTTTGTACATCTCAACTCAACTGCTGGTTAATTGCCCGACAGAAGTGGCTTTCTTCCTTCATATAAATTGGCATCAAACTTTTGTCTTTGCATATATAATCATATATAGCCAATGTCTTTGCATATATATTTTCCACTACTGATCTAATCAAATACAAAATTTAAGAGCCTGGATCCAAAGGCCTATACACTAAACTACAGAAGCTCGTTTCTGGTTCTTCAACCCAAACAAATTATTGAGGTCAGGAACCATAGTTGGAAGGGTCATAGGCTCCGGAGCCATGAAATTTACGATCTTCTCATGAACATTATACCTGCAGAAACATATTCATTAATGCAGGAACCTTCAACATTAATTCTGGCCAAATAACAGATTCTCCAAAAGAATTCCAAAACAACATCATAGCAGTCAGTCACATACGGAAGCAAAGAATCTATACTGATACCTCATCTTGCGACTCTTAGAGGCTCGTCTGTCAACAATCTTCCTCTTCTTAGTATGCAACCTTTTCAGAGAATAAAAGGTTGTCTCTGTGATTAACCAAATAGTGGAAAATCAGAATATCATTAAATAATATTCTGATACAACATGAAAGGTCTTAGGCCATGTTACCTGTATATTAAAATCTTTTAATGCGCACAATAATGAAATGTTGAACACAGTAAAACAAATTGCCTTGTAACATTGCAAGGGAAGTTGTTGTAGCATTACTGCAAGTATAAAATTTTTGCTAATAGAATTTATATTTGACATGCTTTGCATTTTGGACCAAGCTTGGGACTCCATTCCTCTCAACTCAATTGCCACCCTGACACACTTAATAGTAACTAACTTAGTACGAACATAATCTAACTAATTATGGTCTGAATTGTAGTGAATAACTATTGCAGGGGAAGCATGACCTTGATGCAAACATGAAATTACCGATAATAATTGCATATTTACAAAGTCATTAAAAATGAATTTTATTCCAGTTTAGACTTTAACGCAATTGCACGTAGCATGATACAAAAATCAGACAGCTGTGTATAATTACCCTATCCTGCATCTGATTTATTTGCAATCAATCAACCACCAACATAACCAAAGGGCAGTTGGTTGATTTATGTCAATTCACTTCTACAAAGCTTGATAACTCACTCAGTAGCAAAGTCGAATTAAAGCTAATAGTAAAATAAATATAGTAAAAAATAAATTGAGAATTTAAATTGCACATCCACTAAATATAATTAGATACAATGATTGAAATACAATATTACAACTCACCAATTATTCTTTAAAACTACAATAAAAATTACATTTAAAACTAAAAATAGTAGAAATGAACTAGCACTTAGAACATGAGCAACAATCTAAGAGATAGAAAATGCCTTTGTTAAAAGGCCTTGGGTTTTTGTTTATGCAATTAAAAAAAGAGGCTTAATCAAGTACAACAAAACTCTGACCAACATGAGTCTCTATATTTTATAGGTTGATGCTAAAAAAGAAGTGAAAGTTAATGATTTCTAAGGTTGGAATCATTCAAACATGTTCTTTTGGCCTAATATTAGGAGCATTACTTTCGACCAAAAAAATATTTAGGAGCATTAACAAGCCAAAAGTAAGTAACATGTAGACAAACTGAAACATAGATTAAAGCATGTAATGCCCATTGCGAAGAGGAAAAGAAAAAGTTACAAAATAGATGACAATCAGAAGTCAAACCCAAGGAGGGAAGGAAGGAAGGGTCATTAGGCTTTGCAGCCATAAATTTAATATCCTCTTCGTGCCAAAAGCCCAAACAAGAAAACCAAAGGCCCACACAAGAGAACCTATAACAAATCGGTCAAAGAGAGAAAGGAGGACTTTGAAGATCGCCTCCATGACCCTTTTCATTTGCTTTGAACAGTGTGTCACTTAGTGAGCCAGGATTACCCTTTGAGTAGTTTATTGGAGCATAAAAATTTGGATCCAGCAAGATCCAAGTGATAATAGGCAGAGGTTTCCTGGCAATGGCATGGCGTGTACCTAGAATTTGTCATGCCATTTCTCACCTTTCATTTCAAGGGGCTATATCTCTTTAGAAGACACAAATAAGTCTCCAAATCGTATTGTCCTTTTATGTTACTTTCTCCTTTTTTTTTATCTTAAAGAAAGAAAGAAAAAAAACAGATAATGATTTCATTTCTTGGCTCAAAATAATTGCTTTTTAAGTCAATGGATGCGCTTGTTTACCCAATTCAGTAAGGAAATAGCAACCCCAAAACCTTATAATTTATTTCCCTTCAGACAGTTTGTTTCTTCACCACACCTCATCCATGGCACTTGTGAGAGCAACTCAACAAACCTCCTCTTCTAATACTTCTCGATGTTGTCGTTATCACGTGTTCCTCAGTTTCAGAGGTGAAGACACTCGCAAGACTTTCACTGACCACCTCTTCACAGCCTTGGTCAATGCCGGATTTCGCACTTTCCGAGACGACGATGAGCTGGAGAGAGGAGAAGATATTAAGCCCGAACTCCAGAAAGCAATCAAACACTCAAGAACTTCTGTTATTGTGTTTTCGAAAGACTACGCGTCGTCCAGATGGTGCCTTGATGAGCTTATGATGATCCTTGGACGCAAGAGGACCTCACCTGACTATGTCGTTTTACCTGTCTTCTACGACGTGGATCCATCCCATGTGCGGAACCAGACAGGAAGTCTTGCAAGGGCATTTGCTAGACACCAAAAATCTCAACCCCCGAAGAAGGTGAAGGCATGGAAGGACGCACTTGCAGAGGTTGCAGATCTGGCAGGGATGGTCTTACAAAATGAAGCTGATGGGTAATTTCTTTTATTTACAAGTCTCTTTCTAAAGTTAAAATACTGAAAATGGACTTTTCAGTCTTTTTGTCTTTTTTTGTCTTCTTTTTGCAAGGATGTTTGAATTCTTTTTTCATTTGGATTGCAATTTTTCAGACACGAGTCAAAGTTTGTCAACAAGATTGTTCAAGTGATAGGAGAAAAACTAAGGCGTAGACCCCTAAGTGTTCCCCACATCATGATCGGAAGGCATTCTCTAGATCTAATCAACAAACTGAATTTGTGGTTACAAGATGGATCAGATGATGTTGGCATACTTGTAATTTATGGCATGAGTGGAATAGGGAAGACAACCATTGCAAAGTCTGTTTATAATTCAAACTTTGGAAGGTTTGAAGGAAGCAGCTTCCTTGAAAATATCAAAGAAGTTTCACAGCAACCCAATGGCTTAGTTCAAATACAAACACAGCTTCTTTCTGATATTTTGAATGGGAGAAAAATGAGAATAAGCAATGTTAGTGAAGGATTAACTGAGATTGAAGATGCAATAAGCTCCAAGAGGGTTCTCCTTGTTCTCGATGATGTGGATCATATGGACCAATTAGATGCAGTACTTCGGATGAAAGATCAATTTTGTCCAGGAAGTAAAATCATAATAACAACTAGGCGTGCAAGATTGTTAAAGGCTCATCAAGTTACTAAGGTGCATGAAGTTGAAACTTTGCATTACAAGGAATCATTGGAGCTCTTTAGTTGGCACGCTTTTGGCCAGGACCATCCCATTGAAGGTTACATTGAATATTCGCAAAAAATAGTGCATCATTGTGGAGGACTTCCATTAGCTCTTAAAGTTTTAGGTTCTTCTATGTACTCGGAGGATAGTATAGATGTATGGAAAAGTGCACTGCAGAAGTTGGAAGCCATTCCAAATGGTGAAATAGTAAATAAACTAAGAGTAAGCTATGATTCTTTGCCAGATGACCATGACCGAAATTTATTCCTCCACATTGCTTGTTTCTTTATCGGAAAGGACAAAGACTACATTGTTAACATACTAGATGCATGTGATTTCTATACAATTGTTGGCATTCAAAATCTCATCGATAGATGTTTGGTGAGTATTGATAAATGGGAGAAGGTGCAGATGCATGACATGATCTGTGGAATGGGAAGAGAAATTGTTCGCCTAGAATCAGAGAAGCCTTGGAAGCGTAGTAGAGTGTGGCAACATAAGGATGCTTTCAATTGTTCACCCGTTTTGCGTTTACTCCTATAATGGAAGGGCAAAGTTCCCCACTGCCTTGAGAACCATAGACTGGTCAACAAGTCAGCTTTCTTTGGTGTGCGAGCGTGCCACTGCTAGTAATGAACAGCCTAGCAGACTTAGTCTGGAATGGATAACTTGCGCCCCAAGTTACTGATTTCCTAAACAAACGATTGTGAATTTGGGTGAGGAATATCTCCCAAGTAAGTTCTTTTCTTGCCTCAGACTAGTGAGGACTTTAACAATTTATCTCAGTATAAAGAGGTTGTTCTGGCCAGAATGGCTGATGAAATTTAAGCTATTTTTGGGCGGAAGTGCCTTTTACAGGACTACAAAAATACATGTCGATGCCAAAAGATAAAAAGATAGCTAGATCTCCATTTCTGCCTGGATGGGAGGCTCTGTGATGGGCTGGACTGGGAATGTCTGGGCTGGACTGGATCGTAGACAACTCTGATTGCCCGATTTTCAACTACAAATCGATGCCAAAGGTTGACTCTGGCAGAGCTTTAATGTACCTCAAGCTTTTGCGAAGCTTCTGAGTAGGCAGAACTGCGGTTTCTTCAGTCTGAAGGGGCAGAAGTGACTGTTCTTGAGGACGTTGGTGAGCTAGAGGCTATTCCGTGAATTTGGCTGGGGTTTTCCATACTTGGAGGAGGCTCAAACTCTGCTTGTGTTGGTTTTTGCTGAACCAAATTTGTAACGAGAGAAATCTCGTTTTGAATGACTTGCTTCCTAAGTCTGGATTCTGGGCATTCTGATCTGGAGCTGGTTTTTCACTTGAAATTCAAGTGGGCTTGTTTATTTGAGGGTTTTCCTATGTAGGATCTTTGTTTGATTGAGTGATGAAATTTTTGTTGTAAGATTTTTTTGTGTGTTGCCCTGTTCACTCCTTCTCATATTTATAAGAAATGTCTTCTGGAGGAGGGTAATTCTTTTAATAATGGGCGGCAAATCTTTTCAAAAGATCTTCCTTTAAAAATGGAAAAGAGAAAAAGGGGATTTCATCATTTTCTGGTAGATAGGTTCTCAACAGATAGGCAATCACTTCCCTGTTTTTTTCTTTGAAATCTCTTGCCTAATTTCAACTGCCCCTTGCGATATTTTGCCCGTGATGGTTAGTTTGATTCTTTTCTGGACAGCTTCCTGCTTTCCTGCTTATCCCTCTCTGAGATTGTAACTTGCTTATCTCCTTGGGAGTTTTACCTTCTCTGAAAAGACAGAAAAAAATCTCTGAATATATATATATATGTGTAAGAGGGATTTAATCTTCAGTTTTTTCCAGAATCGATCTTGATGCTATGAACCCTTCAATCACTTCTCCTATGACAGTTGCCATTGCTGACTTTTTTTCTTTTTTCAGAGATATCACGTGGGATTGTCCCTATTTCTGGGCTTCCCCTTTATATTGGGCCCGTGAGGCCCAGATTAGCCTTGCTTACTTTGATGAGTCTTGGGCTGGTCTCCTCTGGCTTTTGGGCTTCCATCTCTCTTTGATTTTTTGCAGCTTCATTCTGGGCCTAATTTTTGCTGGGCTGGGCATGCCAATTTGTGGCCCAAACAATGCCCCCTTAAGTCTGAATCGTTTTGAAAACGGTTTCCAGACTTAAATGACATGGCCATTAAATTGGCGCGTGGTAAATTCCTTCATTTATCCCACGTCTGCCACGCTTCCCCACTAAGCTAGTGCTCGTGTGGCGCAGTTCTTCAGTTACTAGCCCTTTATTAGCTTAGTCACTATCAGATTGACGCTTTGTCTTCTCCACGTCGCTGTCATCTCTTTCCCACGTTTTCTGGCTTCTTTAAAAGTCTTTCAAAACCCACTGTTCCTGTTCACCTGAAAACCTAGTATTTTCAAAACTTCGTTTCCCCTGAGCTTCCTGATACTTTCTTTCTGCCAAAAAGGAATAATTCCGAGAAATGTCTTCCCCGAAATCTCGTGCTCAATCTTCCTCTGTTCCAGTTCTTCCAGACTACATTACTGGGGCTGGAATCGACAGTCATGCGATAGAGGTTAGGAGCAAGCTCCACCCTTTTGCCCAGAAAAACTTGGATGAAAATGTCCTCCATTTGTTTGAAAACACCTTGGTGCTGGGGCCTCACTGGTTTGGCCCCGTTCCTCCCGAGATGGCGGAGCTGATGAAGAAGGATGCTGAGGCCCCGCTATGTTTCGAGAGCTCTTCTGCCCTGGCTTCTCATTCTTGGGTCAGCAAGAATTTGAGTCGTTCGTTCCCATCCAGTGAAGTGAGAAATAGTCCAATCAAGTGGGCTGATTGGATTGACAGACTTCTTCCTCGATTTGGGGCTCACTGGAAGCGGGCTGGAATCTATGACGCCATTCTCCTATCCAGGCAATCTATCAACAGGGATGAGAATCTGCTTGCTGCTGCTTTGTGCTTCTGGAACTCTGCCAGTAACACTTTTGATTTCCGTATAGGCCCCATGGCTCCCACTCTGTTGGATATGGCTCAGATTTTTGGTTTTAGGCCTCACGGAAGACCTGTTGATGCCATTGGTGATTATCACAGGAAGAAGGACCAGCAGAAGCTAGCCAAGCCATTCACTATTTCCCCAGCCTTGATCAACCAGAATTGCTCCTTCTCCAACTATCTCAGAAAATTTAGTGCTGAGAAGGACAAAGATCAGCAGCATATGTTGTTTCTCCTGTATTGGCTGAACAGGTTTATTCTGCCCAATCGTTCTTCTGCAGTTCTGCTTGAGTACAGACATCTGGCAGAAGCTCTGCATAATCACACTGATGTTGGCCTTGGACCTACAGTTCTGGCCCATCTATTCAAGAACCTGCATACCGCTACTCTGGAGTATCCGCTGAATCTGTCTGCTCCTGGTGCCTTCTGGATGATTCAGATCTGGCTGCAGGTCTATTTTCCTGAGTTAAGGTATCCAGACATAGTTCTGCCTGAGAACCAGGTTCTGGCTCAACCGTTGCTGTCAGCAGAAGTCCCTAAGCGGTCAATTGGTGAATACCTGATGATGTTCAGGCATTGTACCAAGAGGTCTGCAGCACAGTGGCAGATGGTGATTAGGAGGACCTATCCTTGGTTTCAGCCTGGACATCGTTTGTTTGAGAAAGAGCCAGAAGAAGAATCCGCCAGAACTGATTTCAGGAAGAAGTTCCTGAGTGTGACCTTACCCAGGGATCTGCCTCATGGAGGGGGAAAGCCTCCAAATTATCATTTGGGGGCGGAAGTCTACCATCCCAACTTCTGTGCAAGGCAGCTTGGCTGTCCTCAGCTCATACCCCTCAAGTCATACAGAAGCTGCAATCGGGGCTCTTCTTGGAGGGATGCAGATGACTTGGAGGTCCACAAAGACGCCAGGTGTGCCGTGAACAAGATTAACAACAGTGCGGATGCCCTTTATCCTTCCTGGGAATTGAACTCCTGCAGTTCTGTGTGCCGTGAACAAGATTAAGAATATAGGCAGCCAACCAGCCCAAAGCGGAGAGGTGTTTGGTAAGTTGTGTTTTTTTGTCCAGTCTTTGGCTACTCTCTACTGGATTGACTTTTGACTTTTGTCTTCTGCATAGTCAATTCTGTCATTGCTGCTGGAGATCTGGAGTTGCCCTCCGGGGATGGAGAGGAGGAGGAAGAAGAAGAAGAGGAGGGAGATCAGGCAGAACAGACTCCTGTTGAGGCCACTTCTCCTGTCAAAAGAAAAAGAAAAGAAACTGCCCAGTCTGCGGCTCCAGGTATTCTTTGATGATTTCTCTCTTTTTTTTTATTTCTTCATAATCCTGTTCTGTCTTCATTTTTAAGACTTATTCTGTCTGTTTGCAGTTGGAGGTCCCTCTCCTCCTCTTACTAAGTCAAAAAGACTTAGAAAGAAGATTGCAGAAGAATACGTGGCCCCGGAGGGAACTGGGGCAGTTCCTACCACCACCTCTGGCACGGATGATGATCTGAGAGAGGCTTTCGAAGCTGTGGAGCAAGAAAGGGAGCTGGAAGAGCTGGAAAAGGTAGGAGAGGAGCCCCAGGAGAAGGCCAAGTCAGTGGAGGAGGAGGTGAGTCTGTATTTATATCTGGGAGTATTTGTTCCTGCTGCACCTTGATTTATTCTGTTCTGACTTCCGTGCATTCTGTAGGAGGAAATTCCTGCTGAGGTGATAGCGGAGAGCATTGCCTTGGCTCGGAAGCAGCAGGAAGATATAGGGGCAGGGCTGACCAACTCAGAGGTGGCCCTTTTTGATGATCCAGAGGCAGAACATTCTACTGCCGCTCCAGCAGCTGAGGACCAAGTGGAACAATCCGGATCGGAGCCTGGGGATCAGGAAGAACAAGTGGTTCCTGCTTCTGAAATCGTAGCAGGAGTGGCTGCTGCCGTTCCTGGGTTTATGGTGAGTTCTATCCTTATTCTGTCGTTTCCCATTTTGTTCTGTCCCTTGGTCCCTTCTGACCCTCGAATCTTTACAGGTGGAAGCACAAAGAACTGCTGGGACCTTGGCGGTGAGGACCACCCCCTTGCAGCCTCCGATTGTTGCAGTGAGTGTTTTTTGCAGTTCTATCTTCTTCTTCTTGTCTCTGCCCTGTTCTTGACCTTATGCTTCCTTCTGCAGATGCCTATTCATTCTCTTGCAGGTTCATCTGCCACGGCTTCTTTTGCTGACCCGGAGCTGGCAGAATTTGAAGCCATGGACCTAGATGCCCAGCTGGATAAGTTGGAAAAGCTCAGCTCTCCTGTTGGTAAGACAAAGTCCAGGGCAGTGGAAGAAGCAATGGAGAGACTGAAGATCTGGCAGTCTGCTGAATTGGAGCTGGATGAGGACAGAGAGGCCTTTGATCAGTTGATGAAGGATCTGGACCTGCTGCATAGACAGAACATGGCCCCAAGACCCATTCTTGAGATGAGTCTTGTCTTGGCAAGGGACGTGCTCAACCTTCACGATCGTTATGAAGACCTGAAGCCTACCTTCAAAACCTCTGAGTTCTGCAAGGCCACTCATGAAGCCAACTTGGCTGATTTTGCAAAGCAGAAGGCAGAACTGGACCAGATGGTTGCGGGGTATAAAGAAGCCAAAGCTGCTGGGGATAAATTGGAAAAAGAGATTGCAGAACTTCAAAAGCAGCTGGCAGAGCGTCGGGAAGTGCAGCACAGGCTCGGGGCTGGATTGAGTTCTAAGACCAAGGCTACTTTTCTTGTGCAGAACATGGTTGCAGCTTCTAGGCCAGCCCTGGAGATTGCAGAAGCTTCAATTCATCAGGGCGTGCTGCTCCAAAAGGAACTTTCTACCAAGAAGACTAACCTGCAGGAGACTCTTAGAAAACTAGGATTTTGATTTCGTTATTTTTCGCTTTTCTGAACAGCTTGCCGTGGGGAAGGCCCCATGGTTTATTTATTTTTAAATAAAGTTCATTTTATTTCTATTGATGGATCGAATGGAAAACAGAAGTAGGAATACAACAAAGGGATAGACTTAAGGTAAAACAAGGGTAACGTTCAAAAGATTTTTAGTCAACTCGTGTGTCTATCCCCGGGTCTGTTTGTACAGCCTGTGAATCCCACATGGTTGGATAAAACTTTTTCAACCATTTGCCATTGATCGGGGCCGTATGAACTTCTCCATCCCTATCCTGCAACCTGTATGCCCCCATTCCAAGGATTTGGCTGATTATGAAAGGACCTTCCCATGTAGGTGACCATTTTCCATAACCAGCCACATGTGTTCCAAGGGGCAGAACTGCTTTCCAGACTATCTCCCCTTCTTCAAAACTCTTGTTCCTGACTCTTTTGTTGTAGGCCCTTGATACAGCCTGTTTTCCTGCCAGGAGTTTGTTGAGAGTGTCAATTCTGGCTGCATCCAATCCTTCCAGTTCCAGCAGCATGGCCTGGGAGTAGTCTTCTCCTACTAAGTCATGTTGGTGAGCAATTCTGAGGGACTGAACAGCTATCTCCATAGGCAGAATTGCATCATGACCGTAGGTTAACGCGTAGGGAGTCATGCCAGTCGCTTCTCTCTTTGAAGTTCTATATGCCCACAGAGTTTCTGACAGCTTCTCATGCCACTGTTTTGGATTCTTTTCAAGCATTTTCCTGATAATGTTGATGATTACTTTGTTGCTTGATTCCGCCTGTCCATTGGCTTGGGCATAATAAGGAGTGGATTGGAGCAGTCTGAATTTGAATGCCTCTGCCATGTCCAGCATTTCTCTAGATATGAAAGATGACCCTCTATCAGTTGTGATTGATTCTGGGATGCCAAATCTTTGGATGATCTGTTCTTCTATGAAAATGATGATCTCCTGAGATGTAGTGGATTTAACAGCCTTGGCCTCCACCCACTTGGTGAAGTAGTCTGTGGCAACAATAATAAAGCAGTGCTGCTGGCTGCTGGCTGGATAGATCTTACCAATGAGATCCATTGCCCATCCTCTAAAGGGCCATGGTTTTACCACTGGATTCATGGGAACTGATGGAGCCTGCTGGACTGGACCGTGCCTTTGACAAGATTCGCACCCCTTGGAATAGTTAATGCAATCTTTCATCATGGTTGGCCAGAAGTAGCCATATCTCCTAATTAACCAGCACATTTTTCTTCCACCTTGATGTGCTCCACAGATTCCTTCATGGGTTTCCCCCATAACTTTCATGTATTCTTTCTTCCCGAGGCACCTTAAAAGCACCTCATCCTTACTTTTTCGGACCAAATCTTCATTCCACATAAGGTAGTTTAAAGCCATGATTCTGACTTTCTTCTCAGAGGGCAAAGTTGGATATCGCAGATAGGTCATGATAGGATTCCTCCAATCATCTTCAGTGATTGTGGCAGAGTTGACATCTATCTCCATCCCCCTGGCCAGAACCGATGGTAGGCTTTTCCTTCCTACCTTGATGATTCTTTGCACACAGTCTTCGGGTATTTGTATGCCTGTTGCCACCTGGGCCAATTCATTGGCTGCAAAATTTTCTTCCCTTGGGATATGTTCCCAAGTGGCCTCTCTGAATTCTGTCAGAAGATTCCTAGCTGCCACCAAGTAGACAGCCAAAGAAGGGCTTAGGCACTTGTATTCCCCAGCAATTTGTTTTAGAACCAGCATGGAGTCTCCCAGGATTTCCACGGACTGGATTCCCAATTCTACCAGCATTTCCAAGCCAATGATTAAGGCTTCATATTCTGCCCTATTGTTGGTGCATTGGAAATCTAATTGGAAAGAGTAACAGTGTCTGATTCCAAGTGGCTCTTCCAAAACAATTCCTGCCCCGGAAGTTATATCAGTTTTTGACCCATCAAAGTATAACTTCCAAGGTGTAAGATGAACTGAGTAGATAGGATTGTTGAGGCAGGTGTGGGCTCTGGTTAATAGATCTGCATTTGCTATGTCTAAAGAGTCCATATTTTCAATCTCCTCTCCGGGATGATCTGCTAGGAAGTCTGCCACAGCTTGTCCTTTGACGGCTTTCTGAGGAACATATTTGAAGGCAAATTCTGTCAAGGCCAAGGTCCATTTTCCAATTCTGCCTCTTAGCATTGGTCTTGTTAGCATGTATTTGATCAGATCTGTCTTGGCAATGATATAGATGGTGTATGGTAGCATGTAATGTCTGAGCTTTACAGCAGTGAAGTACAAGGTTAGGCAAAGTCTTTCAATCGCAGAATATTTTCTTTCCACTTCTGTCAGAGTTCTGCTTAGGTAGTAAACCGCCTGTTCCTTTCCTTCCTTGTTATCCTGAACCAATAAACTTCCAATGGATACTTCTGATGCAGATATGTAGAGCTTGAGTGGCCTGCCTCTCTTTGGCGGGGACAGAACTGGTGGATTTGAGAGGTAATGCTTGATTTCCTCAAAAGCTTGCTGGTGTTGTTCTTCCCACTTAAAGGTTTGTTCCTGTTTCAATCTTAACAAAGAAGAGAAAGGCTGGATCTTTCCTGCAGAATTGGATATAAATCTCCTTAAAAAATTAATTTTTCCTAAGAGACTTTGCAATTCTTTCTTGTTCCTAGGCGGTAAAGCTTCTATGATGGATTTTGCTTTGTTCTTGTCGATCTCTATGCCTCTTTGGTGGACCAAGAATCCTAGGAAATTTCCCGCTTGAACTCCAAAAACGCACTTCTTTGGGTTCATTTTAGTTTATGTTGCCTCATTCTGAGGAATGCTCTTCTTAGATTTGTCATGTGGTTTCCCTCCTCTGGTGATTTGATCACAACATCATCAATATACACTTCCAAGGAATGCCCTATCATATCGTGGAAAACAGAATTCATTGCCCTTTGATAGGTAGCCCCTGCATTTCTCAAGCCAAAAGGCATTACAGTTTATTCAAAAGCACCTATATGCCCTGGACACATGAAGGCTGTCTTGTGGATGTCTTCTTCTGCCATCATGATCTGATTGTAACCCGCGTTGCCATCCATAAAAGATAGCATCTGGTTGTGGGCAGCTCCATCTACTAGCATGTCTGCCATTGGCATAGGGTATTCATCCTTGGGAGAGGCTTCATTCAGGTTTCTGTAATCCACGCAGATTCTGACTGCCCCAGTTTTCCTTTTTAGAACTGGTACAATGTTAGCTAGCCAATCAGCATAGATGGCAGGCCTGATGAATCCTGCTTTGAGCAGCCTTTCTATTTCTTCTTTGACTTTCAGTTCTGTGTCCATGGACATTCTTCTTCTGGCCTGTTTGACTGGAAGGTATCCCTCTTTGATTGGTAGCTTGTGTTCTACCAATTCCCTGTCTAATCCTGGCATCTCGTGATAATGCCAAGCAAAACAGTCTTTGAACTCTTGTAGAAGTGCAACGAGTTCATTCTTAAGTGGTTCTTTCAATAGTGCGCTGATGAAGGTTGGCCTTGGATCCTCCTCTGTTCCCAAATTTATTTCCTGCAAAGGATCTTCTACTTCTGGCAGAGAGTCATCCAATGCGGCTGGTGCGAAATCTAGCACTTCCTCCTGTAGTTCTTCTTCCTCCTGGCTTTCCGTACTTTCATGAGTGAATTCTGCCATATTGATGGCTGGATTCTGTGCAAACAACCTTCTTTCCTCCCAGTATATCAACAATCTTTTTGTAATGGACCGGATTGTTGCAGCTCGATCCTTTTCTTGTTGATTGGGACTAAACATCAGTGCTTTGGAAATTTAGGACAAAAGGTCTGTTCCAATCCTCCAAAGAATTGGTTAGACCTTCTTCAATGAGTCTCTGGGCCGTGACACCATGGGGGCGGCCGTTCTGGTTGACTCCAAAGAAAGTGAAAGGACCAAGGTCATCATGATAGTACCTTGCCTCACAACACATGGCAGAAGGTAGGAATGGCCGTGGATCGGCCTCTACTATCTCCATGTAGCCATCTTCGTTCCATAAAGCTAACTGTTGATGAAGAGTGGAAGGAACACACAGACTCTGATGAATCCAATCTCTGCCAAGCAATGCATTGTAAGTGGTGGAAGTAGTATCTACCACAAAGAATGCAACCTTCAGCTTCTTGCTTCCTACCAAGACATCTACATCCAGAATCCCAAGGGTTTTGGTGATGCCCCCTGCGAAGTTGGTGACGGTCAGGCGGGTTGGGATTAGATCCTTCTCTGTTCTGCCCATTTTGCTCAGCATTCTGTGAGGCAGAAGGTTGATGGCTGCACCTCCATCTACCATGGTTTTGGGGATAGGAACACCCCCAAAGTTTGCTGTTATGAACAAGGGTCTGAGGTGGTTTGCCATTTCTTTGGTTGGTTTGGAGAAGCAAAGGGGACCTGTTGTCAGCTTGTGGGTTGCTCCTTCTATCCTGGGATTGCCTGTTTGCTGTTCTGGCATTTCTTCCGTTTCTGCCAACCTGCATTCAAAACTTTCTTGGGAAAATACGTCTCCGTCCAGAGTGCTCTTCTGTCCTTCTACCGCCCAGAACTTTTCTGGCAGAATGAACACCATATTGATGCCTAGGTCAACACGTAACAAGTCCTCCAGTTCTGCACCAAAGGCCTCAGTTTCTGCATCCAATTCTCCGTCATATTCCATCTGTTCTCCATCATATTTCTCCGTCCATTCTCCCAGTTCTTCTGTCCCGAGGAGGGTATTCTGGTCATCTGTGGATGGCTCATAATCCAGCTGCTCCTCTTCATCTTCCTCAACCCAGTCTTCTTGTCCTTCTCCTGAAATAGGATCGGTTCTTTCCTCTAGTTGGGGAGTTTCAAGTAGACCTCCTGAGGCGGGGGCAGGATGGACAGAAGGTTTCTCTGAGGATTCTGCTTTTGTCAACTTCTGTAGTTGAGAGATTGCTTGTTCTGTCTGGGGAAGTACTTCTGGTTCTTTCCCTTTTCTGGCAGAATTGGCATTTGGAAGCACCTGTGCGTTTTTCTCGTTATTGAGGAATGTGCAGTATTGTCTCTGAACCCTCCTCCTTTGGGTTCTTGTCAGCTCCATTGTTGGTCTGCCATTCTTCCCGATAGAGTACCACCTGCCTTCAATGATGGCCGCCAAAGGTTTGTTACTTCCGGGCACTTTTATTGATATTTCCTCCTTGGGCTGCTTAGTCACTCTTCTGTTGGATTGGACAGGCCTAGGGTGGTTTCTCTGTCTGGTCCTATCATGGGGCGTGGTTCCGATCCGGTCAAAAACACTTGGAATGGGCAGCTCCTGTTTTTCCAGGACTACTTCCAACTCAGCCTCACAATTGCACCTGCTGCAAAGCACTATTCCAACTGAAATGGTTGCTTTTGGTCTTTCCATAGTCTCCTTTGAAACTATTCTGCTTCCACTGGAGCCAGCCTGCATGGCTGGTCTGTCCTTCTTCCGTTCTGGCCAATTTAGGTTGACCATGTTAACTTGTGGCTGGGGAAAAGGATCTGTGGTGACAGATGGAGGTTTCTCTGCTAGCTTCAGCCTTCCTGCTGTTATTCCTTCCTGTATGACATCTCTGAAAACAACACAACTATTGGTAGAATGATTCCAAGAATTGTGCCATCTGCAATACTGTCTGCCCTTGAGTTCTTCTGGCTTGGGCATTCTGTGAGGTGTCTCTATTGCTTTCTGTAGCAACATTTCATCGAACAAGGCATCTACTTTGGTCAGATCGAAGGAATACACTTTGTTCTGCATGGGTTTATTTGGAACAAACCCTCCTGTGAATGGTGGCGGCTTCTGATCCCTTGGAGGTTTTGTAAGAGTTTTACAACTGATGGGATGCTTTAATTTTGCCATTTCCGCAACTGCAACCTCTCTCTCCTCTGATTCCTCCGCATCTTCTTCTGACTCTACTTCAATCATATGTATTGAGGAGGAAGGGGATTTATAATACGTGCCTTTGGAAGAGTTTCTCTTCTGCTGTTCCTCTCTGAGCAATTCCTCGTACTTGGCCGCTTTATCTGCCAGTTCTGCCAGATCTCCAAACAACATCCCATCAAATCTTTTCCTTAGAGAGATTTTGAGGGCAGCCTGAGCCATTTGAATGAAGTGTCTTTCTTCGATGGGGATTCGGCACTTCATTTTGAGCTTCCTGAACCTGTTTATAAAGTCTTGGGCAGGTTCATCTTCACTCTGTTTGAGAGCTGCAAGGTCACTGATGGTGACTTCTGGCTGAATCCTGTAATAGTAGTCATGGAAGACGCTCTCCATTTGCTCCCATGTCTGAATGGAATTTGCTGGCAGAGTAGTGTACCAGGTGAAAGCTTGTCCAGAGAGAGAATTCCCAAAAAGCCTTAGCTTTAGCAGTGGGTTATTCTCTATGGCTATGCATTGGGTAGAAAATCTGCCTACGTGCTCAACTGATGAAGCATGAGGATCCTCTCCGTTGAATAAAGTGAAGTTTGGTACTTTAAAGCCCGGGGACAAGGGGTATCTGATCAATGTAAGGTGGATATGGCTTCCTATAGGTGGGTCTTTCCCCCCTCCTGGCCTCAGGCTCCATCATTTCTCTGATCATCCTCTGCAATGCCCCCACGTCATTTAGAGCATTAACGGGGGAAGGTTTTGTCCCTGTTCTGGCTGGGCATGATTGAATCGTGGTTCTGCCCTGTATGGTCTAGGCAGAGCTTCTTCCCTGTGCTCCTCCGGCTCCTCCAGGCCTGGGTGGTTCCTCCAGTTTGCCCCCTGCCTGTTCCTGTCGTTATTAGCATAAGGGTAATTTCCCCCTCTGCCTCTCCTTCCTCTTGCAGGTGGAGGGAATGGATTGGGGTCCATTCTTCTGGGCCTGTAGGGTACCACTGCTGGATGTTCAGGCAGAACTTCCATAGGGTGATCTTGTGGGGCCGCTTGTTGCGGAGCAGGCTGAGGCTCTTGCTGATTCTGTAGAACTTGTCCTGGCGCAGGACCTTCTGGCTGTATTGGGGCCAGACGTTCTTGGATAGGAAAAGCCACTTCCCGGTGTCCAACCTGGATTCCTCCCCGTTCTGGCATCCCAGCTATCTGTGCAACAAGAGGATTCTCTTGATATGGCCACGCCAACCCTGGTGGGGGACCATAGGGAAGGTCTAGTTGCTGGACCACCTCATCGGGATTGGGAATTCTGGCCATGGCAGCCTCTCGATCCTTCCTGAATTGCCTGTTGACCTGCCATTGCATCATGGCTGTCATATTGTTTAGAGTATCCTGGCTTCTTTGTGTTGTGACCTCTTGTCGTAACACAGATTCCTGCATCAGGTTCATCCTTCTGGAACCGGTCCTGGACCTCCTACTCCCTGTGCTGCCATGTGCTGAATGTCGGGCATCACTTTCTTCTGATTCCAGTCCTTCCCTGAGGGCCACTTGGTTTATTTCCATGCCGTGGTGTGGGTTCTGGCTAGAGCTTCCGGTATTCATGAACTGGTGAAGAACTCAATGAGAATATGTATACTGAGAAGTCCCACTGGGCGTGCCAAATTGTTCACCCGTTTTGTGTTTACTCCTATGATGGAAGGGCAAAGTTCCCCACTGCCTTGAGAACCATAGACTGGTCAACAAGTCAGCTTTCTTTGGTGTGCGAGCGTGCCACTGCTAGTAATGAACAGCCTAGCAGACTTAGTCTGGAATGGATAACTTGCGCCCCAAGTTACTGATTTCCTAAACAAACGATTGTGAATTTGGGTGAGGAATATCTCCCAAGTAAGTTCTTTTCTTGCCTCAGACTGGTGAGGACTTTAACAATTTATCTCAGTATAAAGAGGTTGTTCTGGCCAGAATGGCTGATGAAATTTAAGCTATTTTGGGCGAAAGTGCCTTTTACAGGACTACAAAATACATGTCGATGCCAAAAGATAAAAAGATAGCTAGATCTCCATTTCTGCCTGGATGGGAGGCTCTGTGATGGGCTGGACTGGGAATGTCTGGGCTGGACTGGATCGTAGACAACTCTGATTGCCCGATTTTCAACTACAAATCGATGCCAAAGGTTGACTCTGGCAGAGCTTTAATGTACCTCAAGCTTTTGCGAAGCTTCTGAGTAGGCAGAACTGCGGTTTCTTCAGTCTGAAGGGGCAGAAGTGACTGTTCTTGAGGACGTTGGTGAGCTAGAGGCTATTCCGTGAATTTGGCTGGGGTTTTCCATACTTGGAGGAGACTCAAACTCTGCTTGTGTTGGTTTTTGCTGAACCAAATTTGTAACGAGAGAAATCTCGTTTTGAATGACTTGCTTCCTAAGTCTGGATTCTGGGCATTCTGATCTGGAGCTGGTTTTTCACTTGAAATTCAAGTGGGCTTGTTTATTTGAGGGTTTTCCTATGTAGGATCTTTGTTTGATTGAGTGATGAAATTTTTGTTGTAAGATTTTTTTGTGTGTTGCCCTGTTCACTCCTTCTCATATTTATAAGAAATGTCTTCTGGAGGAGGGTAATTCTTTTAATAATGGGCGGCAAATCTTTTCAAAAGATCTTCCTTTAAAAATGGAAAAGAGAAAAAGGGGATTTCATCATTTTCTGGTAGATAGGTTCTCAACAGATAGGCAATCACTTCCCTGTTTTTTTCTTTGAAATCTCTTGCCTAATTTCAACTGCCCCTTGCGATATTTTGCCCGTGATGGTTAGTTTGATTCTTTTCTGGACAG